ACAGAAGGACAGACACAAGGACAGACACAAGGACAGACACAAGGACAACATCATCCAATAAAATGCTCCTTCTGAGGACGAGCGAACAAGATTTTCTGATTGGACTCTTGACCCAGGAGCAGAAATCCACCTGAACCTCGAATGGAAAACATTTATCTGTGAATGAGCAGCACGAGAGAGCTGTGGCATAATTAACACACACACACGCACACACGTGCACACACACACACGTGCACACACACACACACGCACACACGCTCTTCTTCTCTTGTGTTCTTTGAGAGAAACGTGTTATTTTGAACCAACCTGGAGGCGCAGAGAATCCAGGTGGAAACTGTGTCGCTTTGCAAATTTCTGCACGCTGACATTTGTCTCCGTGTGTCCCCATGATGGACCCGTCCAGGGCGTCCCCTGCATGAACCTCAACATCTGCTGGGACTGTTGGTACCAGCTCCTCCTCGACAGGACACAAAGAAGTGAGGAAGGAAGATGGACGGATGAGATGAAAAACAATGAAACAAACGTTTTCCACGTTCGAGCCCGAGTCGTATCAAAGGAAGCAACAGTCTCATTTAAGAGTGAAACACGTCCGACTCTTGGACAGATGCTGATTCCACATCTGAAGACCCTGCCTCCAAATCTGCTCATGGACACGTTAGAAACCACAATAAATTATTTACAGCACAAAGTATGAAGAATTACACGTCCATATGCCCTCTGGTTTTAGCTCAGCAGTCTTGTTACATTTAAACTCTTAACTGTCCAAACAGGTAGCTCAAAAAACGATTTTAAGTGATTTATTGTTCATAAAACCCACTTTGAAATGTCTGAAATGTCCCTTTAGGAGTTTCTTAATCGATGGATATGTTCGTTGTTTCAGGTGAGTTGCATGTAACTGACAAGCACAACAAAAATTCATTCTTTCTGCTTTAACCCTCCTGTTATGTTGCGGGTCAAATTGACCCTTTTTAAAGTTTAATTTTTTTTTTTAAATAGTTAAAAATATTTTTTCTGCATGAAACTTTTTCTATTTGTCTTAATAGTTCCACTCAACATATAAATTGAAAATGGTTCACTTTACACATTTGTACCACCCCCTGCGTCTACTTGCTACATCGATACTGTTCGGGTCAATTTGACCCGGCAGTCAAGTTGAAGGGTGAAAAGGGTAAAAAAAATATCCAATTCTATTTGTTTCCTTGAAACTATGAGACATATTTCACTACACACACATACACACACATGCACGCACACACCACACACACACACACCACACACATGCACACGTGCATGCACACAAACCCACTTTCTCACTATTCTCTTTACTTCACAAGGAAACTGTGAGAAAGCAGGTGTTTATACAACTTTTGAAGGGAACCTTTTCTGTTCCTGTGGGGAAACTCCACCCACACTGAGTGGACACTCAGCAGAAGGGGAGGGGTGGGAGGGCATAAATACTCTCTGCAAGGGAGTCCTAAACACATTACACACTGAAGGTACATGTGATATTGTCACTGTCAGAGGTCAGGAAATGAGCAGCAGGAAAAAAATGTTTACAGCCCAGGAAGTGCTGGAACTTCTCATTGATCATGACAGTGAAATAGAAGAGGAGGTGTCTGAAGCTGAAGACAGTATTGAGGTCAATTCTGAGTCTGATGATTCTGATTATGAACCAATTGATGAAAGTGACATTCATGTTTCTCCAAGCAAGACATTCATGTCAAAAAATGGTGAAATTCAGTGGTCTTTATCTCCAACTAAGCACCTCGGAAAACAGTGTGCAGAAAATATAATAAAGACAGTGCCAGGGCCTACTAGGATGGCAGTAACTCGAGTCACAGATATCAAGTCGGTCTTTGAGCTACTCATGCCTAATGTAATACAAAAAATCATTCTTCAAATGACAAATCTAGAAGGAAGGCGAGTTGACTGCACCCTGGCCACTGGTCATCTTTTACAACATCATTGATGTATCAGCATACAACACATTTGTCATTTGGACGGAAATCTTTCCTGAGTGGAATGTGTCAAAGCTGTACAAGAGGTGCATTTTCTTAGAAGAGCTGGGCAAGGCACTTGTGGTACCACATATACAACGAAGACAGCATATGCCAAGGACCCCAGCTACTGCAGCTGTAGTAAAGGAGATCCAGGAGAGGACTACATCCAGTACATCAGTGTGTGAGGTAAGTAAAAGTGTGTGTTTGTGCGAGTGCATGTTATGTGTGTCTTCGGAGCATCAAAAAATATATTAACCATTTTATTCGTCTTTCTAGGTTGCTACTGGAGGAAAAAAGAAGAGGAAGAGGTGCCAGGTTTGCAAGCCATCTAATGATGTCAAAACGAGGATGACTTGTGTGAAATGTGCAAAATGTATTTGAACAAAGCACAGTCTGATGACATGTCCTTCATGTGTTGTGTAGATGACAAAACTAAAGCATCTAGTTAATTTACATATATTCATTTTTGTGGTATTTCTGATTGTATTCATTGCATGGTGTATACCATCGCAACATGATGACATGTTACTTGTGAGCTGTGGAGATTCACAGACATACATGCAGTGTGTTAGTGTTCCTAAGATCTTATTTTGTTGTTTTGTTCATTTCTGGTTCAAAAAACAGTGGCTGAACAAAGTTTACTTTCAATACAAATCTTCATGACTCATTTGTCTTGATTTTAATGAGCGGGTCAATTTGACCCAGAACAGTATATGCGTCTCAAGTTCAATTATAAAGATCACCCTTTGAAAAAAATTTTTTAATGTAATATAAATTTTTTTTACAAAAATCAATTTCAAGGATAATTATTGTTTTTTTTGTGTGTAGGTTTTTTCAGCAAACATAAAAAATGTAAATCACATTTTTTATGACAAAATGAGTTAGTTGTTGTCATTTATCCTTTATTTATGATAAATAAAAAAACATCATTGCACAAATATTAACTGACATGGTTAGTATTGGAGTTAATAATCAGATACAAAAATGTTTTGGAGGATTTTTGGGGTTTCTGACACTATTACATGATTAAACACTCCCCGGGTCAAATTGACCCACGAACATTATTGCTTTACCTCAGAAACGAACATAACAGGAGGGTTAAACCAGAACTGAGCCCGTCAGGGTCACCTTTATTCTAATCGAACACCGGATATCACTGAGGCTCGGGTTTCAAAATAAAAGCCATCCTCAGCAGGGCATATTTAGCATTTAGAAAAATCGGTTAAGCGCCGAAGTTCATGGAACTGTTTTAATTTTGAGGGACACATGAAGCTGTTCGTGTCCTCTCCAGTTCAATTTAATAACAAAATAAGATGTTCTGCAGTTTTTAAAGGAATGTATATCACCCACCACCTTTCGTGACACTTTTAAACTGAGACCGTCTCATGATGAAAGAGCCAAAGAGATTAATTTTAAAGCAGTTTCTGTAAAATGAACCAGCCTGTGTTCTCTTAAGTTCGGTTGGCTGTGGCGGCCATCTTGTCTTGACTTGACTCCGCATGTTAATCAGCTGCAGATGTTCATTCCTTTAATACTTTCTGAAAGTTTAATCAAATGCCGTCTAGTGGTTCATGAGATATTTTGCTAACAGACAGACAATCATCTGCTCACACAGACTCGCGTCGAGCTGCTGTTCAACGTTGTTTTGATGCTACTAGTGCTTAGCGTATCTTAGATCTTATTACCGTTTTTACATTTTATTGTTGGATGTAACTGGGACCCTGTGGCCATAACTTTGTTCCACCACATGTACCACATGAGGTGTGAATGACAATAAAGAACCTCTGAACAATGTGGACTCCTAAAGGAAAGACAGCATTTTAAATGAAGCTCGCATTGTGCAATCTGTGAGTGCTCCAAATATGTGTAGGGGATCAGGCTCAGCTACTACCAAATCAAAAATGTAGTTCAGTAACTTTTAAAAATCAGTGAAAAATAGACATTTTTGTAGTTTCCAAGCTCAGTTGTCCGTGACAGCCATCTTAAATCAAGGTGACTCCAATAGATATTCGTTTGTAATTGTTCATCCAACGACTGAAATTTGTGAGTTTCATAAAAATTTGTCCAGTGGTTCATGAGATATTTTGCTAACAGACTTCATTGCCGTACACTGGCTATGGAAACTTGATGTGTCTTATATCCTGACGCTGCTCAATAATCCAGGTAGATCCAAAAAAGTTCCATCTGGTCCTCTGGACATTCAAAAAACAAAACAAAACAAAACAACAACAACAACAACAACAACAACAACAACAACAACAACAACAAAGATGTTTTGTTTTTTGAACGTCCAGAGGACCAGATGGAACTTGTTTGGTGACCGTGTCTTATTTTGAAGCCCAGCGGAAGTGACGCCTCTGTGTTCCGGTGAGCTTGCCGCCGGTCCAGTGACCCACTTCTCACAGATGCTGGTGCTGGTTTGAATGAGTCGCGCGCCTCGCAACATGCTGGAGCCAGAGTTTGTGCGCGCGCCATGAATCCGACCAACGACACCAGAACCGACAGAAGTCCAGCGGAGCAGCATGTCTTCACTGTCGGAACCTACAAACTTCTGGCGTTCACCATCGGAACCATCGGGCTGTTCGGGTTCGGGAACAACGCGCTGGTTCTGGTCCTCTACTGTAAATTCAAGAGGCTCCGAACCCCGACGAACCTGCTGCTGGTCAACATCAGCCTGAGCGACCTCCTGGTTTCTGTCATCGGGGTCAACTTCACCTTCGCCTCGTGCGTCGAGGGCGGGTGGATCTGGAGCCGCGCGACCTGCGCGTGGGACGGCTTCAGCAACAGCCTGTTCGGTGAGCGAGCGGAAAGTGCCGAAGATTACCGAAACTCTTCCGTTGTTAAAGTTACCTGGAAATGAACAACAAGTCACGTGACCTTTTTAAACGAAGCGCTAAAATAAAATTAGTCTTCATTCAGATTACACGAGATAAGCTGAAGGGGTTAGCATTCTATGCTAAAACAGCGTGAATGCTAGCAGAAGTGCTCAAATTCAACAAAAACAACATTTTCAAACCCTAACTAAAGATTAATATACACTGTTAAAACGGCGGGAAAAATTAGCAAAACAGTAGCTAAAAGCTAAGCGTCCGTTCAAGCTAACATGGACAAAAACAAGCTAAAAGCTGAAATGATCATTTCTGAGAAATACAATTGGCTGAATTGTAACTTTAAACAAAATAAAAGTTGTAAAATAATAGTTGGTAAATTTAAAAAAAGTAAATAGCTGAAATATAGCAAAATTGTAAAGAAAAGCTAACATTTAAAAACCTGACCTTTTTTTGCAGAAATAATCAAATTTGCTAAAGTTTAGATAAAAACTTAATGAAACACAACTTTAAGAAACAGTAGCTGAAACCTAAATATAGCAAAGCAATAGCTAAAAGCTAAATATTGGGAAAACTGCAGCAAAAACCAGAAATGAGCGAAGCAGCAGCTAAAAGCTAAAGTTACCAGAACAGGCGCTGAAAGCTAAAGATAACAAAACTATAGCTAAAAGATCACATTAGCCAAACATCAGCTAAAAATAGCATCTGGCGACAGAAACAGAGCAGCTGAAACAGATTTCTAAGAAAGTTTTTGAATTAATTAAAAATATTTAAACGTTTTACTGTGGGAAACAAATGTAAATAATTCATAAAGTTTAAAATTTACCAAAAGTAATTTTCAGACTGAGCCAAATATTTCAATATTTAAATAGTTAAAATAACAAAGTTTGCAGAAAATGTTTGATTTCAAAGAAGAAACAGGAGAATGCTGACTCAGCATGCACATAATAAATAAATAGATGTACGAAAAAATATAGCTTTGTTTTCTTAAAGGGGCCAATAAGAGCAAATTTACAGTAATAACCCAGGAACATTCAGCTTATTTCATCAATATTAGGAGATTTTTTGTAAATGTTGCACTAAAGTTTACATAAATATCACGTTTATTTAACCATTTCAGGCCAAGAGCTCTTTTCCAAAGAAGGCGGAGCCTGTGTCCTGGACACACGTCATAAACCAACAAAGAATAAAACATTTATTTTACCAACGAGCGCCCGAGCGTGGCACAGTAAGGACCTGAACTTAAAACAGACAAATGACACACAGACATGAATAAATCAGTCCCTTCGGCTGTTCTTTATAACCAGCTGAAGGAAAATGTTTGATTTGATCGTCTTTGTTTTTATCAGAGGAAGCAGCGTGTGCTGTTAATCTGCAGTCCAGAGCTTTGTAATGAAATCATTTTGTCCTTTTAGCTGCTGTGGATGACTGATTAATATTTATTAATATCTTCTAATCAATAATCTAATCTTATTATTAATGATTATTCTAGATGTATGTAGTGATGAGGTGAAGGAGCAGTGGAGGTCTATACAGTTCAGACTGCAGCTGATAATGAGCTCATTAGAACCAGCCTTCAGGCCTTCGGCTGTTTTATCACCACAGAGCTGAAGGACAGTTGTCCTCGTGTCCTTTATCTGATGTCGTCCTCTGCGCCGCGTCATCCGAAGGACAGGTCTGCCTCGTCCGTCTGACAGCAGAACTGCAGCGGCTCATTGTGAATTCACCACACGATTTCAGATCAACAGTCCGTGCGCTTTCTGCTGTTTTAGTTGTTTACTCCTCCAAACGTTCGGCTCGTTCAGCAGATGGGGGCTGGGACTTTTGGTTTTTGTAACTTTTATACTTGACGAAATATTTAACTTGTCTAAAAACATTCTCTTTGATTTCTCATTTAGCTTCTGGCTCTGATTTATCTTCTTATGCTGCTTTTAGCTTTCAGCTACCATTCTGTTGTTTTTAGCTTTTTGCTACCCTTTTGGTACTTTGTGTTTTAGCTATTCTTTTGCTACTTTTAGCTTCTATCTTTCATTTTGTTACTTTCAGCTACAGTCTTTTGCTACTGTTGAGTTTTTGCTGCTTATAGGTAGCATTTTGCTCTTTTTGGCTGATCTTGTGCTTCTTTTAGCTTTTTTGACTCCGTTTCAGCTGCAGACGTTCGGCGCTCATGTTTTTCTCATTGAGGTTTCGGTCTCGTCCTCGTCGTTGGTCTGTATACGAGCTCTGCAGCTGAAATCGTGGTGCCTTCAGGTGACGTTCGGACTTGTTTGACGCTCGCGCCGACGGCCCCGTTAGCATGATAGACCCTCTGCAGGTTGGACGTTTACGCAGCTCCCAGTTGGCGCCTGCCGACGCCGAGCTCGTCTCTGCGGCGCTCTGTGGTCCTGCAGCTTTCAGGAATGACCTTCAGTTTTTAACGAGCGCTGAGGAGCGTCCTGCTCAGAACGATGGATCCTGCCTGCAGGAGGGCCCGGTTCTGAAGTCGTGGGAACAAACTGCTCCCCGAGATAAAGATGTTTTACTCACTCCGCTCTGTGTAGATTAATCAGGTCTGGGAAGAGTGCGTGGATCAGGAGTCTGGTCCTGCAGCTTGTCAAAGTAAGTCCAAACGGAGGCCTACCCGGTGACCCAGATCTGTGTCTCTGTCCTGCAGGCATCGTCTCCATCATGACCCTGGCAGCTCTCGCTTACGAGCGCTACATTCGGGTGGTCCACGCCCAGGTGGTGGACTTCCCGTGGGCGTGGCGGGCCGTCGCCCACATCTGGCTGTACTCCCTGGCCTGGACGGGGGCTCCTCTGCTCGGCTGGAACCGCTACACCTTAGAGGTCCACCGGCTGGGCTGCTCCCTGGACTGGACCTCTAAAGACCCAAACGACGCCTCCTTCGTCCTCCTCTTCCTCCTGGCGTGTTTCTTTGTGCCTGTCGGCGTCATGATCTACTGCTACGGGAACATCCTGTACGCTGTCAGAATGGTGAGCGCTGCGGAAACGTTGTCGTGGAGCCAAATAACGTGACATTTCAACCATTTTTAGCTGCTAACTTTCAAATGTCATCTCCTGTGGAGAGATCTAAAGAAACATTTTTTAAAATAAATAAAAGTTTTGTGTTTTTATTTGAACAAATCTACACCGGATGTTGCTTGTACCGAGTCAGCCTGACTTGGTGTCCATCTTTGTGAGTTTAAATTTACATTTTGACTTGAATATTTATCATGTAATGTAAAGGTTCATTCATACTATGATATTATAGGGTTTAGCACAGAAACAGCACTAGTAAAAGTCACTAATGATATTCTCATGGTCTCAGACAATGGACTTGTGTCTCCACTGGTCCTGTTAGACCTCAGTGCTGCATTTGATACAGTTGATCACAATATTTTACTACAGAGGCTTGAATATGATGTTTTAATTACAGGAACGGCTCTAAATTGGTTTAAATCATATTTATCTAATAGAGTCCAATTTGTAAATGTAAATTATGAATCTTCATCATACACCAAAGTTAGTCATGGAGTTCCTCAAGGTTCAGTGCTTGGACAAATACTCTTTACCTTGTACATGCTTCCATTAGGTAAAGTTATTAAACAGAATGGGATAAATGTTCATTGTTATGAGGGGAGTGGTGGTGCAGAGGTTAGAGAAGGTGGGCATGTGATCGGAAGATCTCAGTTTCAAGCCCCGGTACCGACAACATCAAAAATGAGGGTGGGGTAGGTGAAGCACCCACACCTGCCCCCACTCTCATTCGTCTCACTCTGGACCCTTGAGCAAGGCCCTTCTCCACCATCTGCTCCTCTGGGTGTCCTAGACAGCAGCTCTCTGCTCCACACAGAGGCTGTGGTAGCTCGGTGGTCTGTGGTTGCTTCAGGAAGAACATCCAGCGTAAAAATAACTGCCAAGTCTTCGTGCAGCTAGTTCACTGTGGTGACCCCTGACGCAGGGAGCAGCCGAAAGAAGAAGAAAAAATGCTGATGATACACAGTTATATTTGTCCATTAAACCCAATGAATCCAATCAACTACTTAGACTACAAGCATGTCTTAAAGACATAAAAACCTGGATGACCCTTAATTTTCTCCTGTTGAACAGACAAGACTGAGGTTTTGGTTTTTGGACCTGAGCACCTTAGGAATGAATGTTTCAGTCTTTCTCCCTCCTTAGATGCATTAATCTGTCCTCCAGCTCTAATGTTAAAAATCTTGGTGTTATTTTTGATCAGGACATGTCTTTTATCCCCCACATTAAAAACGTTACTAGAACCTCCTTCTTCCACCTGCGTAATATCACTAACATTAGAAACATCTGATCTAAAGATGATGCAGAAAAACTGGTCCATGCATTTGTCACGTCTAGACTGGACTATTGCAATGGTTTATTATCTGGGTGTCCAAATACTTCTTTAAAACGTCTTCAGTTGATCCAAAATGCTGCTGCCAGAGTCTTAACTGGAGTTACTGGGAGAGATCATCTCTCTCCAGTTTTAGCTTCTCTCCATTGGCTCCCTGTCAAATCCAGAAGAGAATTCAAAATCTTACTTCTAACCTACAAAGCTCTCAACAACCTAGCTCCATCTTATATTACAGATCTTAATATTTCATATTTTACTAACAGAGCACTTTGCTCTCAGACTGCAGGTTTACTTGTGGTTCCTAGAGTTTCCAAAAACAGAATGGGAGGAAGATCTTTCACTTCTCAGGCTCCTCTCTTGTGGAACCAACTTCCAGTTTCTGTCCGTGAGGCTGACACATTGTCCAGTTTGAAGACTGGGATTAAGACTTTCCTTTCTGATAAATCCTATAGTTAGGGTCAGCTTGTTATGCTGCTATAGACTTAGACTACTAGAGGACAAATTGACCTCATTTCCTTAAATGAATTGTTAAAACTGAATAGTTTTCATTTGATACTATTTCTATCTTAACATGTGATTCTTGACCTGCCATTGTGTATCTATTCCTACCAAACCCAGCCGGTTGAAGCAGATGGTCCTCTTGTCCTGATCCTGGTTCTGCTAAAGGTTTCTTCCTCATGAGGGAGTTTTTCTTTCCACTGTCGCTTTCATGCTTGTTCAAGATGAGAGTTCAGTGATGGAGTTAAACTCAAAGCTGCTCCTCAGATAAATAATGATCAATTATTATTTTATATTTGAATGTTTCTGTTAATTATTATTTTATACATGAATGTTTCTGTTCAATTATTATTTTATAGATGAATGTTTCTGTTCAATTATTATTTTATACATGAATGTTTCTGTTCAATTATTATTTTATAGATGAATGTTTCTGTTTTAAATTATTATTTTATAGATGAATGTCCATCCATTATCTTTACCCGTTTATTCCATTTTGGGTCACGGGGGTCGCTGGTGCCCATGTCCAGCAATCACTGTGCGAGGGGCGGGGGACACCCTGGACAGGTCTCCAGTCCATCACAGGGACACAGAGAGACAAACGAGACAAACAACCATTCACTCTCTCACTCACACCTAGGGACAATTTAGAGTTACCATCAGCCTAACATGCATGTTTTTGGTCTGTGGGAGGAAACTGGAGTACCCGGAGAAAACCCACGCATGCACAGAGAGAACATGCAAACTCCACCCAGAAAGGCCCCTGGACCGGGGTTTGAACCAGGGACCTGCTCGCTGAGAGGCAGCAGCTCTACCAGTTGTGCCACCGTGCTGCCATAGATGAATGTTTCTGTTTTAAATTATTATTTTATATTTGAATGTTTCTGT